TATACGCGGATGATAAAATTATTTCTGTAGGTGTTATAATGATAAATCACCTCATAAAGGATCAAGGAAGCAAGCAATTCAAAGGAATTTAATTTCAAACAAAAGAAGCGGAAACGCACGCAATAGTATAAACCAGAATAATTTTTAATTAAAAAAATTCACCTCTCAAACTCTAATTATTGCCGCTTAGTGTAACCGTTCGCACACTACCACCCTTATACAAAGCAACTGAGGGTTTGCTATTGAGCATTAATGAGAAAAAATTCAACCCCTAACACTAAATTGCATTAATTTTCTAAAACACTCGCACCTTTCCGTTCCTTTATTCTTCCCCACAACGTCTCGTATAAATATGGTTAGTCTGCGGAAATTTGTTCTCAAAATTAAACAAATGAGCAACGTTAAATATTTGCTTACTGTAATAAATTTATGTAGAAATCGAACCACATAATTGGCTCAGCCGATGCCTTGTTTATTGTGAGCATATTGATTTTACGTTGATTATGTGATTTATTTAGGCATTTGCAATCATTTGTCATAGTAAAACATTTCTTATCAATGCACCATTTCGTAAAACGGTAGTTTTTGAAGTAAGTAATAATGATGATTGATGTAGAAAGAAATACAGCAGCGGACAAGTTCGGGGAAAGAATAAATTCTATAAAATCGATAAAATTCATAAGTTAGATTTCAAATTCATCATGCAAACGTAAAGGATAATACATAATTTAGCTTCGGGTAGAGTTCATCGCTTTGATCCATCCGTCAAGGCTCATCTCCCTTAGATAAACTAACACTCGGTGAAAATATATGAGTTATGATTCCTTTCAGATTGTATAAAAATTCTTAAAGATTTTTCATTTTAGTCATTTATGGTATTGCCATTCGTTTCCCTCGAGTGTTCTTTATTTGCGACTCAAGTGGAGTTTTCCAATATGTGGGATTCAACGATAAATACATTCTAAAAAAGTCGAAATGTCTATAAGTGCTGTAGATCAGGGTGCATTTATGGCACCCCTAAAATCGCGGATTAACAGCTCGACCGCAATCGCCTCACGCTGTGAACGAAATCATCCCCTACTCCGCTCTCTGTCCGATTTCCTTTGATTTTCATTCCTCTTATTATTGCTAGGTTCGTTTCGTAACACCCTAAGCTTTTAATGTAGCAAACTCTATGCCATCTAGACGTTCGCAATTTGAATTTGCTTTATACAAATTCTCGGCAATATATCACTTATAAGTTAATGAATATGAATGGCTGACTTTAGACTTGAAAGACAATGACATATGAGACTTTACCTTTGTAATTAATATATTTAAAAAGGTCCTCCTAAAAGCCTAATATTTGTTATTTAACTCGTTTTATTTCAATCATTGTAGCGAATTCCTTTATACTCCACACGCTAATATACCCACCGCCCTAATTATTTCAGGGCATGGTCATAAAAAGTGATCCCGAAATCCATGATTTCACTTACAAAAATAAGACAAATGTCACAAATGTCACCAAATCGTCGCCATCTTGAATAATGGCGGATATTGTAATATTGTTCAAATGTTCGTGTATCCTGAACTTAACTAAATTAATCTGCTTTTTGGTTTCATTTCACGCAAATATGTGATTGGTGGCAAAAGAGCCCACTTTCCTGGATAAAATCGACCTTTACTGTCAGAAACACTACACTTTAAGTAATCTTAATTAGCTGATCAACACAAACATTATATTTTCCCGTTCTGTCAACCGTAGCACGTCCGACTCTCACGAGGCCACACATAAGTATTCCAGGACGCCACGAATCAGGTTAAGTGTAAAAGCAGCGAAGAAGGATTTGAACTTCGCCTCAAATTGTACCTTTTTTTTATCAATAATCATAAAGTTAAAGTTACTAACATAAGGGTCCTTCTATCAGTAAGTGTTTCGGGAAAGAGACATACATTATCATAGCTTGAGCTTTCTGAACGAGTGAGTTAATTTTACATGGGGGCGAAAACTAAGAGGCGAAGATGTATAACGGTAACTGTACAGGAACACATAGGGCAATCTTCGATTGCAGAAAACAACGGTGGTGAAAAATGACGTAGTTTTTTAAAGCAATGTCACCGTTTCCAAAAATGCAGTACGCTGGATTCTAGTGTGTAGACTGTAGATAGTCAATAGGACAGTCTAGTTTTTTCTGGCAATCGGGTGGTAGCGCGAATCAAAATTGTCATGGAAGAAAATGATTCGTTGAATGACTGCGCCATGTAAAAAGTGGCGTTACCAAATAATAGAGATTAGAATTTTTGAGGGGATTCCCGTGGAAAATACCGAGGCGACCACTGTATGGTCCATATAAACATTCTATTTTGCGAGAGACTTAGTAAAATAGGCAAAAACTTGGCGTTTGGGATCATTGTGAACAGCGCGTCCGTAGGCCATCCGTCCCGACTAGTATTAGTGTTTGGAGAGTAGAGAATAGTAGTGGGATTTCTATTAGTTGTTGTTGAAAGAGAAACAGCCCTGCATAAAATTCCGAAGTGGAATTTTAACTGCCATCATACATATTTATTAATCTGTGGCGATTGGACTCATTAAATTGGAGATTCCGCAGTAGTTAGGACGTATTCACCTATAAACTCCAATAGTGAGGATTTGAATTGCGTTTTTTCTTTCTTATCGTGAGTACCGCCATTTGCATTTCCCGTAATTGAAGTGTATCTTTGTTTAGATTCGGCTGATATTTGTTACATTACATACAAAACTGGTTCGACATACAAGTAACCCTGGGTTAAATTCACCGATACCTGCAAGTGCCGACGCCATTGACATATCTTCCACCGGCTGATAACGAATGGCTTTTTACTGTGAAATGGGGCAACGGGTCATGAACGAGATTTGATAGATCCTCTACAAAGAGACAATTTAGATAACTCTTTAGCGTGCGTATTAATTCATAACTATTTTGCCCCTTCTGGGTAATATGCTATTACATTCAAGTAATTTGTTAACATTAGTACCTACTTAGTATCTTTACCATCTCGGTTAAGTTGTGATCGAATTTGAAACGCGAATATTATTATAGACCGCCACTTCCTTTAGAAATGGTTGGAAAATTAAGTACCATACCTGGTATAGAAGCATCGGAACTGAACGGAATTTCCGGATTTTTAAGGCATCATTTTACTAAGTCTTAAAATACGCAACGTACGGAATGTAAAAATGTAAACATATCGGCACGGTACGACGCAAACGACTTGACGCACATATTAATGGGTACACGAAATAGCAGAGTGCGACATCAACGAAAAAAGAAGTTTTTAAAAAATTGTATAATACAATCCGGCCCAATTGTGAATCTAAACCATCTGGGGACACACAGAGACGCATTTAAAAAATGTCTCATCGAAATCCGTCCAGGTGGTTAAATTAACGACCACGCTTAAAATTGAGATTCAAGTTAAAGAGGATGACCCATCGTTGCTATAGGTGCCACTACCTTACAAAAATGTACAGGTACTAACAAAACCTTTAAAAGATACACTTATTAATCTTCCACGGCACGTCCAGTTTTCGCCACGACGAAAATTTCGATATTCAGATAATTTTATTGATTTGAAAAATTGAGCAGCCTTAACTGCCTCTAAAATTCCAAATAATTAATTAACAAATTTTTACCTGATGTAAATCTGGGTGCGAGGCACACCGGGGCAGAATAACACATGCCACGCAACAAACGATCGATAGATTAACTACTTTAAAGTGTCAATAATCCTAAATCCCCGCTGGTAACTGCGATTTATAATATATGACGAAACACTAGCTTATATTGCTTCAAAACTTCACTTCTCGACTTCAGTTGTAGCACTCGAATCTCGATTTAGATGACACTGACTTCGATGTAATTACATTTATAGTATTGGCCCTTTGATGATGGTCAAAACTTTCGTGAACGTAAACTACGCTTCCGTTTAACTCGACTAACAAATTAGTGCGTCGTTGAAAGATAAACTGCACGTGTGATAACTAAACTTCTTATCTACGACCGGAGATAAACTTTTACAGATCCTACGCAATTATTTTCAGATGTTTAAATCTTTTAACACGTACAAAAATTGAACAAATAAATAAAATACAAATTGATTATTTAAACAAAATTAACAACTAACAATTCTCTCAAAATTGACCTAGAATTCGAATGGCATGGTTGGACATGCGCTTGATCCTAATTTACAAACCACTTTTAACGTTAAAAATAAGTAAAATTCACATACAAGGTGACCGATCAAGCGCGATTACAGGGGCGGAAGGCAAATAAAACGTCCGCCCGATTAAAATTAAACTTTTTGTGCAGCACAAAGGAGAGAAAAATAATTTAAAGGTATTACAAACTGATGAGATTGAAATAGAAACTTGTACTCACATACAAGTGTTGGAACATCTTAACCTACTAATGGCCGATATATGGATCTACAGATGAAGCAGTTAATAAAACAACTTTTGACCGGGTAGTATGCAAAATGTTTGTCGAATATACTAATATTCCGATTTTAAAACCATTTTGAAATTGTGAACCCAAATTGTCTTTGACTGTTACTTTAAGATATGGTTTTTTAACCAACAAGCGTCCACAACCTACAGGAGTAGAATATTTAGATTACACCAACCTGTACGGAATAGCTACTCGCATATTCACTTTGGGTAAAATCAACTGCATTCCTCGATCATTTTGTAAAACCAGAAGGATTTGGTAATTCTCAATCCAAATAAACGACTTTGGATGATTTTAAACCGACACACTGTTAAGTTTATGAAACTAAAGAAAATACGCTTAAAAGTAAATTGCCGCGTCCAAACTACTGAAAAATGAAATAAACATTTACCGTTTCTCATCATTGTTGCCAACTAAATTTTGTGGTTTTTCATAATGCAATGTTGCGGTTTAATTATTCCCGCTAGTAGAAATAATTTGCATAGGACGTTATAATCATTAAATGAGTTTGTTTGCTTGTTGCAGGTCCCATGCGGGTGCGGCGCGCTTGGCATGGGGGGTGATAGGGCCCGACCCATGTGGGTGCTGTTTATGTTGCTGCTAGCCTGCTCGGCTTATGCAATGTGCCCTGCTCGATGCCGCTGCAATGACGACCTTCTACACACATCCTGTGTCGCCGCCAGCTTGGAAGTCGTCCCTATTCAACTAAACCCCGAAGTGCGACATATAAATCTTTCCCACAATAAAATAGATAACGTTCACTTTACTTTGAGATTCTACTATAATTTAATATCCTTAGACTTATCGGCCAATAAAATACAAACACTAGGAAACTCGAACTTTGAATTTCAACGCCAACTAAAACATCTAAATCTAAGTAATAACGAGATCGAAAGTCTTTCCAAAGATTCCTTCAAAGGATTACATAACCTTACGGAACTTGATCTTAGCTACAATCGCTTGGAAGAGTTGCCTTCGGTGACGTTTCACGAATTACATTCTTTGGAGATACTTCGGCTAAGCAACAACCAACTGGTATACTTAGAAGAAGGTTTGCTGTCACAGACAAAGCTCCTTCGAGAGCTAATATTAGACGATAATCAAATATTAGAAATGCCCGGATCGGCTATAGGAGACGCGATGAATCTTCAAGTCTTATCTCTATCCAGAAATCTTTTAGTAACGATAGAAGACGGTGAAATGCCCACCTTACTAGAATTGCGAGTGCTTTTACTGGACACAAACGTTATAAATGAAATTCATCCCGGTGCTTTGGCGGGCCTGGCTAGTTTGGAAGAGCTGCACCTAAACGATAACAATTTTACATCGGTTCCCACGGCGTCGCTTTCCAAATTATCGAATTTAACCGTATTTCATTTTAGTGGAAACTTTATTCGCTCCGTTCCGCCCGTGGCATTTCGCGGCCTTTTTCAATTGCGTTATTTACGTTTGAATAGATTGGACCTGCTCACTCGCATAGACTCGAGGGCTTTCGTAGATAACATTTATTTAGAAGAGGTGTGGCTCGACGACAATATAGGTCTACATAGCCTTCCCACGAGACTATTTTACGGAAATCCCCGTGTAACTCACATTTCAATTCGAAATAATCAACTAGTGACCTTAGAAGTTTCAAATTTCCCACTCGACCAGTTGAAGTCTCTGAAATTAGGCGGAAATCCTTTCCAGTGCAATTGTTCACTATTGTGGCTTTGGAGATTACAACAAGATCAAGTCTCTAGAAAACAGTACAGTAATGATACCGTAGGAAGTGATCTAATTATTGATACGGAATATATTAGATGCGCAGGGCCGGAACCCTTAGTGAACGTTTTACTTGCAGATGCTTCAGAATCGCAAGTAGACTGCTCGTTGGGGTGGATTGCGGCAGTCTCGGCAGCCCTTTTTGCTTGTCTACTGTTAGCAACAGCATCTACTTTGCTGTATTTAGGTCCTATGAGACGACGTTTAAACAAGCGGGAGCTGCCTCAGAGGGAGACCGCACAGTGTCCCAACGGCACTAGTCTTGCCCTCACGTACGACGATCCCCGCGTCGATAAGTATATTATCGGCCCTCCATTGATTCATGAATACCGCACGTTACCCCCGTGGGATTCCTTTGCCAAGAACAATGATATGGAGATTTACAGACAATTTGATCCGAATGTCAAGACAAGACCTCACATCGTATATGTGTAGAGCGATATAAATTAGCATATTTCGATGTGAGCTTGTTCAGTGTTCTTCCGAATAACCTAAAGTGCAGTGGATAAAAAAATATAAAATATATTAGCCAACAATAATTTTGTGTAACGGAATCACTGTAACTTATGTACACGTGAGAAAATTTGTCTTTTGCTTTTTTTGGATGGTTCTACATTATACATTGATCAAGTGTTGACAGTTACTTTCCAACTAATGGCATATCTCCAATATAGTCTATGTTCAATTGGACCATAAACACTTAGGAACCACGTAGTTTTTAAAATGTTTACTTATATTTTGGATTGTATTTTAAAATAAAGGCAAATCTTCTTATAAATTCCTTATTACACTTCCTTGTAATTATATTTTTTAATATAGTTGCAAAGACTGAATAATGACTAGTTTTCTAAACTATTATTTAGGGCATAATATGTATATAATACACCATGGTCTATTGTGTCAAATACTGTAACTTATATTAGATGAATAAAATAAATCGCAATAATATTTAAAAACAAAAAAAAACCATTATGCATTTCTATACCATACCTTTGTCGTTCACTTTGTATAAATAATTTTGGTAAGATTAGTTAAAGTGAAACAAAACGTTTGTGCTTACCTATACGTTATTCTATTATTAAAAACTTGCATAATATACATATATATTTTTTGCAACTACAATATTATGTAAACAAATCAGAGTGTAGTCAGAACTATTTTAAATATGCATCAAAAGGCATGTCAGCAAATATCATTTTGCTGTTGGTTGATAATAATATAAACAAGAAAAGAAGATTACATGCATGTATATTACCAATTTGTCATCTCTGTGCTATAATAAACATTGTAACAGAATCGTATCTTTGTTAAAGAGGTTATAAATAAATATACAGTCGTACTACTCGTGTTTAAATATCCATAGATTTGTGCCTTATATTTTTATTGACAGAATTATTCCAAGTACCAAAAAAATCATAAGAACTCACCTTGCACCTAAGATTACTTCCACCATGTTGCAACGATGTATTGGAACGGTGAATAGAGGTAAAGTGGTTTTGCTCAGAAGTTACGTGTACCGTCAGAAGAAATTGTACGAAGATAGTTCTATTCCAGATAGAAAGAACCTTGAAAAACCACTGCCACTCCTTTGAGTTCTTAGTGATACATATCGCTAGCAGGTGAGGGACATGGAAAGACATCATAGATTTCAGGGGGTATCGAAATCGAGTGCTGTTTAATCTTGTGAGGGGGCAATGAAGTCAACAAGCAAAAAATTGGGGATGTCGACTCCCCTCGTTTGAGTTCATTCGAAAGCAGATAGACATGGATTTAAAAAAACGGTTACTCGGTGGAGGAATTTTACGTCCCTCAAGGGGAAGCGTTCGAAAGATGGCTGTATTTTGAGCACTATCTTCGAGTAGTTTTGCCATTTCCACCATACCTAGCGGCGACGTAACCCAAAATGCGCTTTTGCTTCGCTAAATTGGCCCAAACTGGCTACCAATGGCGCTACCTAAAATCCAGAAATTTTTGACATGGAAAATAAATTTTCTGTTTATCGCACTAATCGATGGCTACAGTCGGGAAAGTAACACCAACCCCTCACTAGAAAATGCGTGCTTCGAGCCGGATCAGAAACGGCTGCTGAACTCATACAGTTTTTAGGATTAAAAAAATCCGGTACAACTGAATATTAAACAGTCCTCCTGACCTATTTTTGGGCTGTAGCTTTTTGAGAGAAAGTTCTGATGAAGCTTGTAACAAGACTTAACAGTCTATAAACAATTTTCAATTACGAATATACCTAATAACCATTTATTTACAAATGTGTAATTAATGACACAATAAGCCCGTTTTGCGTGAATATTCTTTTGGTGTGTAGTGTACTTAACCCCCAGGTTCTACACTAACTTCACACTACAAGAACACGGAAATAAAGTCAACCCGGCAACGTTTAAAAATGGCCACCCGAATGACTATTCCCTCCAAAATTAAACAAGATTCCGCTTAAATTTGAAAAGTGGCACGTAATCAAGCATCTAAGGGAAGGCCCCCTTACGTTAGTTATAAACAACGCTATGACCTGAAGCACAGTGGGGAACGAACGTAGAATAAAACACTGAAATTGTGAAAAGTTTGTTTAACAATCATCGCAATTATTATTGATTGTAAAAGCTCGGAAATGTAAGTCGAAATAAATTACATTGCAAAAATAAACTTTGAAAAGGGTAGTTCACCTAATAAAAATAGAAATAGGATGGAAAAAGGAACTTACCAATAAAAAAAAACAGCCGTCAAATTAATATTAAATTGTGCAGTAAAATGGGGTTAAGTGGTTATCAAAATACGATATAAAGAAATGCAAAAATTACTACCTGCATTAAATAACACAAAATAACAACAAACCTTTATGGAGCGACGCGTTCACGACCACCATTCTAGACAAGATGCCAAACGTAACCCACGTTCTTGCTTTCTAGATGACGCAGGCAGCTTTTTCCCACCTAGAAATTGCATGGTTGCCAACTCTCAAAAATGTATGTATCGTCGTAAGTTGTATATACAAGGTGGAACCTCTCAGGTGTATGTGTACATTTTTTGAATGTTTGTACTAAGCGTTTTAAATGATTTTAAAACAAAGAAATATGTTACAATATTAAACACTACTGGAATAGTACTTAATTATTATTCCTTGACAGTAGCCATGTGGTTCCTCTAATAATAGACATCAGAGATCAGTTAGTAATTAGACCAAGAGTTTATTTAAAATAAGGCCGTAGTGCTTATATATAGCATAATGGAATTGAATGAAAGTATGGAATGTTAATAGTTTGGCAACGTTGACAAGTATGGGGACCTTCTAAAACGCGGAATTTGTTTTAAATTGAACGCATTACTTGTTAAGTCGAACGCCAGATGGCCAGACTCGAAAACCCCTGGCGGCGGACTCAAATATCTGTATACGATTTTTACTACGGAATAATACTTCTTCCTATAATTACGTATTCGATGGTTTTACTTGCAAATTTTTTACGGGGACAAACCGGCACAACACAACCAATCCACCTAGCCTTCTGCTACCCTCATGAACCCCAAGTTTCGGACCGTAACGGCTGAACTATGACATTTAGTACCGATTAAAATTACTAATTGGTTAATTAAGTTTTTTCGAAATTTCGTTGTAAAGTTAGAACCTTCGGGGTTTTAAGGGGAGTGCAGTTTGGCATTATAACAATATCATTAGCAATCTTTAGGCCGTGAAAACTTGGGGCATTGATTTTTTCTGATAAGTTACCTGTTTGGGAAATGTGTTCTCTTGGTGACGACTTTTTGAGGTTTGAGGGAAGAGATTTTGATTTAACCGGATATCCGGAATTGGAAAGTAGAGGTGATATCAAAACATCGTGATATAACACACTATGGGAATTTTGGTGTTCCTACGCCAATAGCAGTAGTAGGTGTGGTGAAGTTCTGCTTCGCTAATGTTAGCAGAAGGTGTATAGGCGTAGATTTCCTTCGCTAATAGCAGCAGAAACAGACTAAAGTTGTCATACCGATGTACGCTCTTTTATACTCCATTTCTGTGGTGGGGGATATCACTGTCAGCTGATCGAATTTTTACATTGGCGATGTTGCCTCCATCGTTGCATGCACGTTGTGGGCTTGTGGAGTTGCCACACCTGGAATTTCCATAATGGGATTTTTAAACCGTGGTAAATGAAGTCCGTCGTTGGTTAATAGATTCCGGATGGAGGAGCGATCAGATTTAGCTCATATTCAATCGTTTTAATTAAGTGTATTGGGTTACAACTGCGAACTCCGCACGATGTCACCACAAACTTGGGAAAAGCAAGCTTTCATTTTTTGAATTCGTGTGGGATGTTGATTAACGACCTTAAATCATTTGTAATTGGTAGTGTAGAAAGACGGTAACGAATTAATGATTAGACATGGCCGCCTGGTTGAATAATTCGCCATTTTGTGGGGAAATATTTTACTACAAAGAACCATTGTTAAAACTGATATGAAAATAACCTGAAGACGAGGTTGAACTTTGTTTATTAGTAGCCGTAAAATCATCCGAATCGTCGCTTAGAAGAAAAATACAATAATAAACATGAAAGTGCAAATTATTACGTAGTAAAGATTTCTCCTACTTGTGACAATCAGTGTTTCCAAAATCATTAACTCAACTGTACACTTATATTAATAAAAGTGTGGTTTGTTCGTGATATTAAAATACAAGGATATACCAGAAAAACTATACCTTTGCGAATTTGAAAATTCGCTTACTATCGGCGAGATTTCAACGTGCACGACCCGTCTCCTATTTTTCCTGATTAATTGATACTGCATAGGATTGTATTAAACCTAGTTTTATATCAACATAGTAGTCTGCAGAAGAGCCGTAGTGTATGAGGTACCATTTTTTCATTTTTTTAAAGAAAAATCGCCGCAATTTTAGACCTGACTGACAATTACAAATGGTTAATAGCAAGTGGATGGAGGATAAAAATGAGTTCAATCCTTAAATATACTACTGTAATGACATTTTAAAGCACTGGCGAACAGCGTTACCTCTTGTTCGTAAGTTTCGTGGACTTTCAGCTACGAATTAGCTGAATTAGACTGTCCAGATGATTGCGATTGCCACTATTTTCGGGTTAACTGGGTAACCGACGGTTCTAAGAGCAATCTTACGGAAATCCCTTACAACGAACTTAGTCTTAATGTCTATATTCTAGACGTTAATTCTAATCGTATAACCAGCGTAAAACCGTTTTGTTCTCACATTAAAATGCGCCGGTAACAACTTTCCGACTACCTCACGAAGCCTCATTTTAATTATCCAATCGATGCAGATGTTTTTATAAGGGAAATTAACTGAGTGTATGCGGATGCGTTTAAATAAGTAGCAATTTTCGAAATATGAAAGCGATTACTAAACTTTCCACTAATTATTTCAGCGATTTACCCAGATTTATAACTCTGGAGTTACAAGGAAACCCTCTTGATGCAGTCAAGGGAATTTTCTTATCCAGTAGATCGTTAATGTATTTAGATATTAGTAACTGCGGTTTAACTCATTTGAATTCGCAATTCTTTTTAAACGTCTCCGCCGTTACGCCGTTAGATTTATCTGAAAACCAATCTTAGCGAAATTGGCGTTTCTGTCTTAAAACCGTAATGAGTTTGGAAATGTTCAAAATGAGCAGTTGTGATTTAATTCCTAGGAATTATTGCAGGAATAATTATACGACAGGTAGTACATGAATGCGACGAACATCTCTGGTTACATTATTCTCGGGAAGTAATAATCTAACGAGTTCAACATCACACCAACTCTAGCTAGAACAAAGCTCCATGAATGAGATACGTTGGATTTGTCGTATTGTAATCGAGATAAGCCATTATCGAAGAACGCTTTCCACGATTCCACAAAATTGAGAGTTTTAAACCTAAACGTCTACGGAAACTCGTTATTTGCATTAGATTCTTAGATGCACTTGCACCATTATGTGGATCAGGGAAATTAGATTTGAGCGATCTAATTCAACGTTGGATACGTTCGGGTAAATTTCGGATATAAGCTTTAATTTAAATTGAAAATACGTGCATTTCCATTAAATGATTCGTAACATCACTACCTAAAACTATAGTGTATCCAATTCACTTTCAAACTAAATAACAGCAAATTAAATTGTTTTTTAGCAACATAACTCACACGGACTTTAGTGAATTACAATTTTCGTGAAATCCACTTCATACACCAAAACTGTGACTGCAAGTTCCTAAACAACTTTCGCGGTTGCTTAAGTTGGATTTAAGCAACCGTAATCTTACGCCTTTACCCTCAGAAGCCTTTTGCTGGAG